GCCCTCTAGCGGCGTGTTCGGCATTGTTGCGACTAAGACGCACGTCCTCTAGCGGCGTGTTCGGCATCGCTGCGACGAAGACGCACGTCCTCTAGCGGTGTGTTTGTCATCGCTGCGACGAAGACGCACGCCCTCTAGCGGTGTGTTCGTCATCGCTGCGACGAAGACGCACGCCCTCTAGCGGCATGTTCGGCGTCGCTGCTACGAAGACGCACGCCCTCTAGCGGCGTGTTCGGCATTGTTGCGACTAAGACGCACGCCCTCTAGCGGCGTGTGTCGGCGTCGCTGCGACGAAGACGCACGCCCTCTAGTGGTGTGTTCGGCGTCGCTGCGATGAAGACGCACGCCCTCTAGTCGCAGCGATGCCGAACACGCCGAAAAAAAACAAACCTCTCCAGCCAGAATGCAAGACTTTTTGTCCATTGTTATCGGATTTCCATTTTTCATACGCTTCAGTGAGAGTGCTGTAAGACTCAAGGCTCACAAATTCGCCCACATAAATGCGAGACGCTTTATTCGCACAGCAAAGCCTATCACAGAAACCAAAGCAATATATGTGCGGAAGAGCCCAGCACTCCCCAAATCGAGCAAAAGGGACGAAAAACGAAACAACATGTGCGGCCGGTGCTAAGCAGACATCCCGGACAAAATCTTGCCGCTAGAGGGCGTGCGTCTTCGTCGCAGTGACGCCGAACACGCCGCTAGAGGGCGTGCGTCTTCGTCGCAGCGATGCCGAACACGCCGCTAGAGGGCGTGCGTCTTCGGCCGCCATGTTTGTTTACGCTGTCTGCATGTGTACTGGATGCTGGGTCAGTGGGTAGTGAAGATCAAAAAGCTGCAAGCTCAAAATCTGTGATGCCCAATGTGACCCCCTATAGTTTCTTGTGAATTCGCTGGCATACATGTAGCACTGATTTGGTTACAGCTCTATTTCTTTCAGAAACGTGTCCCCGCGGTGCTAAGCAGTACATGCCTCCACTTTTATGGGAGTACTACAGGGATTATTTTCTCGGCAGGTGCTTTGGGTATTCTGAGTTAAGGAACAATAGAACTATACATCGTATTAATTATGGCAACAACAGAAGGAGACTGTTTATGATCAGTATGTGTGAGAGTGGGAGGAGTAAAATTCCTATCGCAATATAAATGACAATCGTGTGTTGTAAGGATGTGGATCGGTCAACCAAAGTAATGAATCTCAGCATGTTTCTATACTAGAAATATTGCACAGAGGAAGGGTAACGTGTTATCATATCTATATATATTTAGCTTATGCTGTTATAATTTTAATTGAAGTCTATCGCACTTATCATAAAATATGTTATCAAGTTCCTATGGTGGCTTATAGTTTATAGCCAAACGCTAAACGCTATCTTCAAAATTGCATTGGTAGATGAACTTGTGAGCTTTCAAAACAAACTATTATATATCCTGATTTTAAGTCTGAACTGAACATGTTTACTGTGTAGCAAACTAAATGTTTGCTCTAGTCTTGGAAAATAACTATGAATACATGTGATTGCATGCATGCAACAAATCATAATGGACTATTTTTGTAGGAATCAAAATATTGATGCGAGTTTAATATTAATATACATTTGTAATTTATCTTGCTGGGTTTCTTGTTCATAAGATAAAATAAACAAATAATAAGCGTAAATTTTAATACTTTTTGAGTCTTGTTTGTTGTATTTAATATGTACTAATTACTCCAAACAACTCCATACAAATACAATTAAGTGATATTTGTAGTGGCAAATGACATGCAATGGAAATAGCATGTTTATGGTAAATTTATTTGTAGTCTGTGCATAACTACAAATAATCCTCCGAATAACTGTAATGTTTATGAATAATGCTTCTTTCTAAAACTTACCGGGAGAAATCTTTCGAGCTAGTCGGTGTATTTATACTACGTACATTCCTAACCTACCTACCTACACCTGTATATGACATCATTCTTACAATGCTACTGATAAATATATTTTAATATTTACCGATAGATGGAGCCAGCGAGCTGGTTTCAACCATTAATATTGAATAGAAGAATAGAATTCTATTCTATTTCTATGGTTTCAACGCGCATCCTATCGGAAATGCAGCTGCGATAGTTTCAGCTATATTCCCTGGGTTACCTATACTCCCCGGGTTACAGCAACATCTCCCACACCTTACCTGCCCTCGCTATACTAACAGTCGAAGGCGACGGAAATACGAATTCTTTTGGGGAGAATCAGAGTGATATCGCGAATATAAGAATGGGTTATATAAATCATTCAAAATAAGCCCTGACATCCATCTATTAAAAAGTAATGTAAGAACATAAACGAATAAGGACATTTTCCTTTACTGTGTAATAAAAAACGTTCGTGATACAAAATTGTTGATATATAAGCAGCGTTTATGTACAGATACATCCATTAGTCTACAGACTCTTCGTTATCCGCAGTTCTGTTTTTTCACGTTCATCGCAGAAAGAGAGAAAAAAGACTCACGTGAACTTTGGAGACATAAGACGTAGCACCTATTATGTTTCCACATCTTATCATTTCCATTTTTTAGATTAAAAGAGTCGCAGCTATACAGTACCTTTGCAGAATCATACGTGATTTTGTTTTGGTTTCATTTTCTCAAATAATTCTTTGTTATCACCTGTGTGGTTTTTTCAAACACGTACGTACGCACGCACTCACGCACACACACATGCATATACGCACGCGCGTACACGCACGCACCACGCACGCACGCGCACTTCGGTGTGGAAGTCGAGTCAACCGAATTTTAACATATGGCCACGAGAGCGCTCTGACGGTAAACCGCAGGGCATGAATATTTCATCGAGCACGAACGATAACTTGCATTTTCTCACGTTTGCTCGGCGGCCCCATAAAACACGGGAATAAACTCTCGAAGAAACCCGCAGTATATAAGTAAGTACATACTTACTAAATACCCGTACGCATTCCGGGCGAAAATCGAAAGCGAGCCAGCAAGACTGCGAACAGCTCTCTAATTTCTTAACGTATATATTTTACCACCTTGTTAGAATTAATCGCTAACACGAACACTCGTTGCATAACGTCCATTAAACAGTTAGCGCAATGATAGATTGTAGCAAATATGACGTGTTAAGTAGCATTCTATAGTAGTATTAATAAACGCGTGTGTTTAATTGCGCTGTCATGGCCGCTATTCGGTGCGACACTGCTCCAGCTGTTAGCCCCCCCCCCCTGCGCCTAACCTCACAATAATGCGCACGTAAGTCGCGCGCGAATACAGCAATCATAGCTCAACCCTTCGAGAATTCACACGTGTTACTACTACACCGCAGAGAAAGTGTTCTTCTGTTGAGTTTATGAAATAGAGTTTCTAACGCGGCACCGTTTAGACATGAATAATGGCTGACGACTAATGACGTCATGATGTCGCTACAGGTTCCACGAGTTCGACCGCTCGCCGCGCGCGCGCATGGCCGGATGTTCCCTCATCCACTTCCGGGTCATCTTGCACTTTTTGGGAGAAGTTCTCGTCGCTTTTTTTCCTCCCCTTCGTCTGCACTTCAAACCTGCGCAGCGGAAAGAAGGAATAATTTGACACCTATATTGACAGTGAATGGCGATTATAATAGGGAGTGGGTAAGGGAGAGGGGAGGAAGCAAACGAGGATGATTGGTCAACGAAGATGTGTTAGCAGGAGGGATAACGTTATACGGAAGAAGAAAGAGAAAAGGAGTGAACGAGAGAGGGGGAAACGCGCAAGAGAGAGAGAGAGAGCGAGAGGGGCGATGAAGAGAGAGAGAGAGAGAGAGAGAGAGAGAGCGACGAAGAGAGAGAGAGCGCGACGAGAGAGAGAGAGAGAGAGAGAGGGGGGGGGGAGAGAAAGCAAGCGAATGAGGGGAACAGAGATGTAATATAGCAGACGCTAATAGCATAGAGCGAGGCAAGTCAAACATCCAAGATCTGAGGAATTAGGTATAGTAGCTCTTGGCGGTTGTGTAACGTTGGTAGCTTACCTTCACCTTTACGCCAAACTTTACCCCTTACGCGTACATTTAACCTTGCCACTTCCCTTTACCATTTACATGTACATTTACCCTTGTCACTTACCTTTACCCTTTACTCCTAACTTTACCCCTTACGCGTACATTTACCCTTGACACTTACCTTTACCCTTTACTCCTAACTTTACCCCTTACGCGTACATTTACCCTTGTCACTTACCTTGACCCTGTACTCCTAACTTTACCCCTTGCGCGTACATTTAACATTGTCACTTACCTTTACCCCTTATGCGTACATTTACCCTTGACACTTACCTTTACCCCTTGTCACCTACCTTTGCCCCTTACGCGTAAATTTACCCTTGTCACTTACCTTTACCCTTTACTCCTAACTTTACCCTTTACGCGTCCATTTAACCTTGCCACTTACCATTACCCCTTACGCGTACATTTACCCTTGACACTTACCTTCACCCATTACGCATACATTTACCCTTGTCATTTACCTTTCCCCTTTGCGCACGGACACGAGGCGAAGTAACGGCCGCCTTTGATCTGTCCGATGGTGCAGCGGTCGCCGAGGCTCGCAGTCTCCTGGCAGCGGTACCTGGCTTCACCGGGCTTCAGTAGGCAGCACCCTGACTCGCAGTCTCCGTTCAGCCTGCACAGCTCCCCGGAACCCCGCAGTACCTCCTGTAAGCAACCAAACACACACCGCTGTCGATTACAGCTGTTTAAAGCCTATGCGAAGCCCTCTCCCAAAAATACGTATGTTAAACCTAGTAATGTCTAGCTATGTTATTTTTCTAACTATCTGCATTAGTAAAAAAAATTATGAAACACTTAATGTATTTTTAACGCGATTTTGTAAAGGAACTATGTGAAAAACGCGTCTCGCGTGACGTCACACGGATGACGTAGATTTGGGAACTCGTTTCTCGAAATAAGAAAAATAATTAGGAATAATATAGGCTTTAACCCCGGTACGGGCGAGAGAGGAAGAGACGTTCTCTTCTCATTTCTTCTCGGAAGCGTATCCGACTCTTAAATCTAGCAGTCTCCATCTCTTAGTCTTATACGATTTTCAGAGTGTTAGTATAGCGTACATTTTTAGAAGTACTCTAGTATGTGCAGATACCTGATTTCTCCCAGAGTATTGTCGTGCACTGTAAGAAGTATTCTAATCTATATGCAGAGAATCGCGTCCCTGCAGAGTATTATCGTACTCTCGTCAAGTTATGAGAAAAGAAGTCTTAAAGAAGTGGTTATGACACCGCAGTATATGAAATATGGCAGTAGTACATCTGCATTGGCCAGAAGATGGACTATGATGCTGTAAAATCAATCGTTTTCCTCTACAGCCGTATATAGTAAAGAGGATCTGTACTGACTACTGCGTATTGCGAGCAAGATGGTAACTGTACAGGGTTTCCTCGACAAGCCGCGCGCACCGTAAATATGCTAACGAGTATGCAAATGTCCTCGTTCTCTTCCTGCGTGAGGACATGCAGCCTGTCCGTCTAGCAGGCCGCATTTGTTTCATCGAGTGTGAATCGAGTGAACGAACGGCGTCTGCGGACCTATTGCGGGAGAAATTATGGAAATAATGTACATGTCGTTCACTTGCTGTGGTTCATGGGTATACGGCGCGTGCACACACGCACGCACGCACGCACGCACGCACGCACGCACGCACGCACGCACGCACACACACACACACACACACACACACACACACATATATATATATATATATATATATATATATATATATCGTGTGTTAAATCGCTGCAGTAATACTGACCAGCTGCTGTTTTGCAATACGCGTGTCGGCCGCATGGATGCGACAGTGCGGCGCGTCTGTGGCAGACCTGTAGGATAACCTTGGCATGTTAATACCGTCCGCATCCCTTTTCGAAAATTAGCCCAGTGACGCCCTCGGTGACTAATTAATCATAATTGCTGCCTCAATAACGTAAGTGGCAAATCACGTGATGAATGCGACAGGCGCCGTATTGGCGTCTGCGATTGTGGATATAGAGGGTGTGACGGCGGAATGTTTGGCGTTGGGTTGCTATGATGTGTGCAGGCCTAGTACCTACTCAAGCACGATATCGACTAAACCACTTTTCGCGTAAGATTCACTGTAGCTGTGCTTAGCCGAATGGTAGGCTACTGACGTAATGTGTAGGCTATATTTTTATTAGTTGGGTGACATCGGGGAAAAAAGCATGTCCTTCTCTGCGGGCAATTATAGCTCATGTGGAATGAAATCGCCTCACGCATCCTCTACACACCACTCCCCATCATGGACTCACCTTTCTTATTCAAACAGACACGCAAGCACTCCACAACCGCAGCACACACACACACACACACCACAACACACAGACCCACACGCGGGCAGCGCACGCGCACAAAACACACGCACTCGCACTCGCACGCGCATCACAAACACGCACGCACACGCGCACGCGCACAGCGCACGACGCACACGCACAGCCGCGCACACCAGACACGCAGCACATACCTTACACACACACACACGACTAGTGAGCGGGGCGAGCTGGTTGCCTGATCGCACACGGGCGGGGAGACACACAAGCCACACACACACACACACACAAAAGAGAGAGACACACCGTACACGGAGAGAGAGGAGAGGAGAGAGGGGGGAGAACACAGAGGAGAGAGAGAGAGAGAGAGAGAGAGAGAGAGAGAAAGCGAGAGAGAGAGAGAGACAGACACACAGAGAAGGGGGAGACAGTCATCACACGCACACACACATATACAAACACGCAGACGTATACATACATAATGCACTGACGTACGTGTAGTATCAGCTAACTGCACACTTCGCTCTCTCAGCACAACAATGGCCGGCCTGACGCAAGTGTCTGCGTGTGTGCACCCACAGCGTTCAATACTCTTACTTCCCGCAGTTCCCGGCCCAGCTCTATAGCTCATGCTGAATTAATAGACTTTCCGCATTCGTTTCCCCCCGTAACCCAACCGCGGTGCATATATAATATATATATATAATATATATACGTACAAGAACTTAAACTTGAGACCTTTCATACGCGCGCAAGACGTCACGCGAAGGCGTCACAGTTGCTGCGAGCACGCACGCGTAAGGTAGAAATTAATTTGGCATACAAACACAAATACGCACGGGCACGCACAGAACGCACACGCACACACAGCACAAAGCGACACGCACGCCGCACACGCACACCAGCATGTACAACCCGCGAACTACACACACACGACCCACACACACCACAGATCTCGACACACACACGACACACACACACACACACACACACACGACACACACACATACACACATACACACACACACCACAGCACAGACACACACACAGACACACACACATCCACACACAGCGTGCACCCACGAACGACACATATATATTATTATATACCACACACCACACACGCAACACAACACCCACACAGCACACACACACACAGAACACGGCAGAATCAACTCGGCGGCGCTTTTAAATAACTCATGATACCGATCGATCGGTCGATTATCGATTAGGCGGCCCGCCGTGACTTACGGGAGCGCTGTAACCGACGGCAACTTGCTCGATGTTGTCCGTCGCCAGGGCTATCATCGTCATCGTCGGACGTCGCTGCGTCCTCCCTCCGTCCATGCTGCGTCGCTCTGTCGTTCTCGTCCTGGCGGGCTGCACACAGACCCAGCAGTAGACACAGCAGTATGGCGTAGCTCCTCATGTCTGGACGGATGGATGGTGTATGTGTGCGTGTGAGCGCGTGGTAGATAGCTGGGTAGCTCGCGCCGAGGTCTATTCTGTGCGGACACGCACGCATGCGCACAGACACGCATACACACACCTCGGGGGTTGGACTAGGCACGCCTTACTGTTGCTTACACGTTGCTGTTGTTATCCCATCGGCCAGGTTGCATGGCCTTGCACACGCGGTGGATTTCTCATGGCTCTAGCCTGAGGTGGCGAGGGCTACCTTTTGTTGTCATTCTCTACCCCCTCTCTCTCTCTCTCTTTGTATATATATATATATATATATATATATATATCTTTCCCTCTCTCTTTCGTTCTCTCTCTCTCCTTTCTTTTTTTCTTTCCCTCTCTCTCTCTTTCGTTCTTTATCTCTCTCTCGTTCTATCGCTCTCTCACTCCTATTCTCTCCCTCGTTGTCTCGATCTTTGATCTTTTTCTACTTCACTCACTCACTTTGCCCCCTCTTTCTCTCTCGAGCGTTCTCTCTTGCTCTCCCTAACTTTCTCTCGCCCTATATTTATCTACGAACTTCTCGCAGTTGACGTGCATCAAGCGCAGTACTATAATCAGATAGCCTGTGGGTAAACAAGGAAGACAGGTTATAAAACCACATTCCCGCACGCACCTCAATTTCAAATTAAATAACACTAGTATAAAGATGTTAAATATAGTGGAATTAAGGCTTAACCCTACCCTAAAGTAAACAGAAGACTAAAATGTAATAGATCGCTATACTAAATTCTGTCATCCTAATCACGTAACATAGGAACAGACCAGGTGCAAAATGTCCGATGTTTACTTAGTGAGTGAACCGAGTGTTGTAAAGTTAATTTCGAGGCACAGGCTTGCTCGCCGTGAGAGCTGATGCCGTCGACTTTGCTTTTCAACTATGACTTCCGCGAAGGAATTGTTTGCGTTTAATGCATCATTAACATTTCCGCTGCTATTAAATGCTAACTTAACTCTCCCGGATGACCGTGGCCGCGCCATAAAAGCATGGCGGACGCCAAAGATGGCGATTTATGCGCCGAAATCTAAATATATGCCCGCGTCTGCCATCGAGTCTACGTCACACTAATTCGATTAAATTCCTCATTCGTCTTCATTTGGTTACACTTTTCATTTTCCCGAGAGCCGTTTGCGTCGTTGCAGAACGGCCTGGCTGGCACGTACATATACTAGCACCCGCGCATGCCTTGAGACTAATGCATGGGCTTAACCAATTTTTTCACTAATACCTCGCGAAAAGTGTCGTGCAATTAAATTTGTCATTTTGTTGCTGGTATGCGAGACGTAGTCTGTGTGTGTGAGTGTAGCTGGTCTGTGGTTTTTCTAGGTCTGTGAGTTTTATTGGTCTGTGAATTTTAACGGTGTCTGAAATCGATTGTGGTATAGAGTTAGGGCGTAAGAAATCCTTTGGTGTGCGAGTTTTCTTCGTGCATGAGTTTTGCGCGAGCGTGAGTTTCTCTCATGTGTACGCAATGGTCAAGGCTCGCTTCCCAACACACGTCTACCTATTTAGCTACACACATGTGAAATGCTTACACGAAGCTGCTAAATGACATATTTCGCATTTAATTTTATGAACACCTTCATTCCTAAAGACGTACGTTCCCTCGTCAGCAATGAAGACCAGCTATTGAAATTCCAGCGCCACCATGCCGCGTGTGTTCTGTAACAGAGCCACCAGTACATCGGCCTGTTATGCATTCACTCTCACAAGCTCGACGAAAAAAGGGCGTTAGCAATAACTAGCCCTTGAAACTAGCCAAGTAAAACGATCAACTGGATCTGATCTCTACGATGAATTAATTGTCGTAATCGGAATATTTATTACAACATAATATAATGTAATATAATATATAGTAATAATTATAACTTATAATATAATATAATAAAGATCAATATATATTAAGAAATATAATATAATATAATATAATATAATATAATATAAGTATAATATAAGTAATAAATCTATAGTATATAATATAATTATTAGAGATAATATAATTATAAATAGAAATATTAATATAAGTATAATAGTATAGAATAGTAATTATGAATTTAGAATCTATAAATTTAGAATGCATGTAGATATAGACTTAATAGCAACTAATAGCAATCTTTAAAATATGAATAGAATAGAATAGAATAGAATATCATAATTATTAAGAAACAATATTAAATAATAAACGCAAAATCTACTGACGTCATTTTAAAACTCAGCATGAAGCTGAGACTGACAGACTGACTGTTACTGACATAGTCATAGAGTGATGACAGCAAACGTATAGGCAGGGTGAACTAAATTAAGAAGTCTCTACTTAACCACCGCAAGGCCTCATCGGGCTGAAAATGGAGAGCAGAAATTTATTCGCACGATCAATCGTCTCACTGTTATTTAGCCGCTGGGTTTTAAACAGTTTATTTTCATTTGCATGTTTAGTTTAACGTTAAAATTTCCTTGCTCACCAGCATACAGGGGCTATAGGCAGCATGTAGGGTGCCAGGCCCCGCCGTTTAGCAACATACATGACAAGTTCCACCTCTTCTCCACCCCACCTCAACTTTCCTGCTCATGGGGGACCGGTTTCAGAAACATCGTAAAGTTAATGTTAATGCTTTCCTAATTCATTTTGACAACACCTCCCTGTTATGTTCCCACGCGATCTTCTAACACAGCTCTACTCCCCCGATCTGGTTACACTCGGTCAGTCTTCCGCTCTCTCCTTCCGAACACCACTCTCGTGCTCCTGCTCTACTCACGCTCGATGAATACCAATCATATAAGAATCCCTATTGTGGCTGTGCCCCCTCTCCACTAATGGCTTGTAATGATTAGCTGAGGTAGAGAAGTAGGGGTGAGCAACCAGATGAGAGGGTATAGTGCACGTGATCGCATATAACCGACTTCCCACATATAATCACATTATCAATGCGTTCGATTTAGTAAAACGATCATTGGGAATCATTGTCGGTCGTACGATTGCCAATTATATACGAGCATCTAATAATAATAATAATAATAATAATAATAATGATAAGGGGAGACAGAACGCCTGACCATTGCAGTCCAAGACCAAGCACTCAACACCAGATACCATCAACGCAACATCCTCAAGCAACAGGTCAACAGCAAGTGCAGAATGTGCAGCAAGGCAGAGGAGACCATCAGCCACATCATAGCCGGATGCACAGTGCTGGCCCCAACCGAGTATATAAATCGCCATAACAAGGTAGCCAGCTATCTGCACTGGTCAATCTGCAGTAAACTTGGTGAGCAAGTACCTGACAAGTGGTATGAACACACTCCGAGACCAGTTATTAACATCGGAGATACTACCATAATGTAGGATATGGCAGTGCAGACAGATCGTACGATACCTACAAACCGCCCTGACAAACCGTCCTGTGCTCCACAACAGGAAAGAAAAACGATGCCTGTTGATTGACGTAGGCGTACCAGATGATTCTAACATCATGGTGAAGGAAAGAGACAAACTCACCAAGTACAAAGATCTGGAGATCGAAATTAGGAGGATGTGGAATACTAAGACGAGAATTGTACCAGTGGTGGTTGGAGCCCTTGGCTCTATAAAGAATGTTTGTGAGAAGAACCTTAAAGAACTTTCTGGCCACCACACTGCTCAAGAAGTGCAGAAAATCGCACTACTAGGAACAGCACACATCCTGCGAAAAATTCTGTATTGAATCCCTGTGTCCCAGGTTGGGACACGGTCAACCCAGAAGCCACCACCTAACCACCGTGATCCACTTTGGAAATAATGATAATAATAATAATAATAATAGTAA